TGAATCAAGCCCAGAGATTTGATCTCACCATATATATTCAAACTGGGTAGCAAAGTAAAACGTTTCAATTGTGCAGAATCGTATTTTTGTGGTTAAACACTCTGAAACTCGATCAAATTGTTGCGCGCTCAAACTTGGTCTCTGCGTCCAATATTAACGGAGATACCGGTCATTTTTTCTCAAGTTCCATAATAATTATAACGAGGCAGGAAGAACTTCAAGATTTTAAAATTTTGATCCCTCGGTCCCGCCTTTACCAAGAATTTTGATCCCTTGGTCTCGCCTTTGTCCCGAGACTATAAGCAAATACAATGATCAAACATCATTTTATCGTCGTTTATTAAAAATGAACTCTATATAATGAGCTATAGTCTCTTGAGTTATTTCAGGGTCGGTTTAAGACAATACAGGTCAACAGATGAAAGTCTCGTTTTTCATTCGGAATTGGAGCAAATAAGCTGCACCTATTTGCCCTACGCAGTTAATTATTCAATTTATATTTTCATTAACAAAACGGTTTGATTGATCGGCATTGATTTTTATTGAAACAATAACTCCCCCGCCCTTTTATTGTTCGCATTTGCATGAAGTGCAATTTGCAACTCTAACCTTGAAGACAAAACCAAAGAGCTGCAAGAAAGTAAGACGAGGCAATAGATCCATTTATCAGAGTTAGTAAGAGGTTAATCGTGCATTACTCTCTGTAGTATCCGTCAATCTGAACTATGATGCTCTTTATCAAAAGAGGTCCATTGCTGCAGCTCTGTTACCAGAGACATATGTCAAAGGGAGCAACTAATGGACAATTGAGAAGGTGGGGTAAAATTTGTGGATAGGAGTGTTTTGGGCTCATCTGGAAATGCAACTAAAGTCCCTGTTAACTGTTAACGGATAGTCGGTCAGAAACTGGTCAACGTGCAAACTACACATATATAACTCAATTTAGTATCTCATTTGTACGGTGCATAATGATAAATACGTAATAGTAAATAAATGAGAAGGTGGAGAAATGGTGCTGGGTCCACACCATTTCGCGGGGAAAATAAAGCCAAGAAGTTCCAAAAATTATAATTAGAGTCAAAAATAGATTTGCTTAAACTCTAATGAGTACCAGTACAAAACTGAAGGGGGAGAGTGTTCAGCTCTGAGAGTCTGAATTTCAGTCGAAATCCAAAATAACCTAACATACAATTAAATGGAAAAAAGTGTCACCAATTCTTAAAATCGCCACTGCTCCTCTCAACAACTCTTGACTTGAAATCTACTCAAAAAGACGCCCCCGAGACAGGCCTACACATTTCACACGAGTCGCTGAAATCAAAATAATTATTCTCTCCTGGTCTGGTATGCCATGGGGACAAGTTCCATTAATTAAAAAGGCACTTCAGAGCAGGAAAAGAGCGACATCATTATTACACCAATAAAAACTGCAGGTGACGGATACGGTGTGAGACAGTGGGTAATCAGTATTAGAGCCACGTTAACGAGGTAATCATTGTCACCTCATTACTCGATAGCTTGAGATAAACGCTGTCGAGCACGATCGGAGAATACATGAAGATGAAAGGAATCGATGTAAGTACAACGCGTATTGGGGTTTATAAATGACGTTTGGTATGCATCTGACAGAAAGGCTGCTTCTAAAGTGATGTAATAGAGAAATAATTGTCAAAGCCATAAACTATCAGTCATTCGATTCTTCACGTGGTTGAACTGTGTATCCGCTGTTTTGAACACCTCGATTCGTGTCAGCAATGATGCTCCTTCAAAACGTGTTGATACCAAAATAGTTGCACGCGAGCAATAATTTTTTTGGCATGTCTGTATTGTAAACTGCTCCGAAATAATGTTGAAGAAATGAACTTCTCATAGTATATCCTGCCCCCTTGTTCTATATTCAGTAAAAATGTATGCTTTGGATAGTGTACTTCTGATTCAATGCATTCGATTATACGAGTATACACGAATCTACAGGGGCGTTGATATTTCATTTTGATGGGCTCATTTTGATCACAAAAACATAGCTTTGGACGAAACCAAATGGCTCAAAATTGTTAAATATGTTCACAATATCAAAACTTTCATATAAAAAATCACCATCACTTGCAGTCATTCCATGGAGTCTTAACTTCTATCACTTCAAAGAATTACTGTTGTACACTGGAAAAAAAGAAAAACATATTGGATCTAGAGTCCTGACTCTTGAAAACATTGACAAGAAAAAGGACACTTGATTCAATCAGATTTAAGCTTAAATCGAAAGGAAATTCGCTCAAATTAAGAGGCTTGGTTCTTGGCTTAAGCTTAAATCTGATTGAATCAAGAGTATTTTTTCTTGTCGATGTTTTTAAGAGTCTGGACTCTAGATCCAATGAGTTTTTTTTTCAGTGTAGATGCTAACCGGCGCAATTTTAATTTTTATGATCAGATACCGAGGCTTTTGCCATCCGCTAAAGTTTAACCGGCGTTAATTAGTGGTAACAAACGATTGAACAGCATGTCAACTCCACAGGAGCCCCGCGAAGAACAACAAACAATTTCCTGTTTCTCTTGATTGGGTCCGTGTCACTGGAGCGCTTGCACGCACAGCACATGCGTGTGACGGTGACGCAATTCGATGCCCAAAGCTCAACGCATTGGGTCTATTCATTGAATTGTAATGAATTATTGAAAAATAAATAAGGTGTCCTTTAACCACAGTCGTTCAAAGGAGGGTATCTCAAAACAAAGTTGGCTTGGAGTTTCAAGGATGGACGGAAGTTTCAAGGGAACTGAATCGGTGAGAACGAAAACACACCAACCTCGGTAACTCGAAAATGCTCAATTTTCATGAAGATCATTGAAGTTATCGCATCTGTTCCAACTTTCACCTTTAGTGTGTCCTCAGGTACCTGTCTTTTGGCACCATAAATCTTTTTCTTAGACTAATTTCTTCACCTACTATGCAGTTTTTTGTGTGTCATGACTATTTTCCTTTTTTTGAGTTGGTGAGTTTTCGTTCTCACTGATTCATCTGTATTTCAGCACTATTTTTCTTGCTCTTAAATTTTCACGAACAAAAACAGTGCCCAAATGAAGCTTACAAATGATGACGTCAATCACAAAGAACAAGCAACTTTTTAATTTTATAAACGTTGCTTGTAACATGTTCATTACATCCCAAATGAGACTTAATTTTTGAACTCAATTGCATTGATTCGACATGTATGATGTCTCATTCCGTAGTAAATCAAAAACTGAAGTCGATCGAAGAACCGAGGAACAAAAGTTACGCATTGAAAAATTCCGCAGAACCTTTCAACGCCTCTTTCCGGATCTTTTTCCTCGTGCCAAGGATTCATCAGGCTGGATATATCCAATCCTGAAGCCCACCTCAGGAAAAAAATTTAAGCCACGCTGGCAAAAAATGTAAAATGATTTCATTTTGTGAGTATAATTTATAATTAGCCAAGCACATCAGCCTTGTTGTGCAGTGTTGTGCCAACACCGACGGTGCACTGTTGCACTCCAATTACAACAATTCTGAAAAAATGTGATGGATTTGACGTTCCACATGTACCAACTACACTAATGTCCATCATTAATCACAAGCAGTTTCAGGGAGAGGATTGAATTATTGTTAGAAATCCGACTTACTGACCCCAGTGACGCAACAAAAAAAAAAAAACAAAAAAAATTAAAAAAAACACTAGGCTTTCAGAAAAAATTTCCTCGTGAATATGGCAGAAAGAATTTATGAAGGAGAAAAGTTGTATGTATTCACAACAAAACTGTTTTTCAAATTCTCAGACATTTTGCATGCTCATAATCTGGTGAATATAATTTACACTAACAAAAAAAAACTCTGTACCTGGGACTTAAAGTTCAGGCTAAATGAATTTCTGAAGTACGCGGATCATGCATAAGAAAACTTGAGGTACAGCTGCCGAAGTTCGGGTCATGCATCCAAAGTTTGGTAAAATGGTTGATTGACTCCATTGAAGTTTCAACTAAAGTACCAAAGAGCTTCCGATGTGTGACTCGAACTTCGGCAGCCGGACCCTAAGTTTTTGGATGAATAATCTGAAAACCATGTGGCCTAAACTTCGGGTTCCATTTATGAAGTTTTTCTCTCCGTAATATTTCATTAACAATTGCTCGATTTTAAATCTCACAAAGAAGTTCAATCAATCCGCCAAAGCCACGCGTATTTTAACTGACAATCATGATTCTACATAAAGCCTCCTCAGAGGTATAAAAAAAAACGATTGGACGAATATTAAACCGTGTCAAAGTGTCACTGCGTGTCAAACACAGGCTGATGCCGTGCGTCGCAGACACAAGTGTCGAAAAAAGGACTGGTGGACTGGTGGCGCTTTGGTCAAGTGAACGATGGCTGTAAGACCAACGTTGACCCAAACCGGATCTGTGGTCGGGCAGTCTGAACTTCAATCGTATAGAGTGATGTAACCGCCATGAAATGTTGCAGACCGAAGACCGAATTTTTTATTATAATTTTTAGGTTGTCGTTTGACAGCACTTTATGTTGAAGTGGAATTCATCTACATGAAATATCATTTATGCTCGTTAATATGTTTTAAAAGTCTAAAATGTATACTCAAAAAAAAAAAAAAAAAACTTGTTTTGATACTCTGTAGATGTTTTTTATGTCAGTATAAAGGTTGTCATTTGGATTCATAAAAAGAATTGGAAAACAAAAATCATTGAATGGGATGATTCAAGACACCGTTAATTTAAGATGAATCATTTTCAGTCATTCCACTGCAAGTGAATAATATCCTTATTGTAATCGTATTTTAATATTAAAAAAATATTCAGTTTCCGTACAGGGAGTTAAAATATAGGTAATCTTAACAAATGCAATAAAAAAATAAAGAAGTAAAAGTTTTGATAACAATTACTTGTAACATTCTATAACACGATCGAATCGTTTCGGCTTTTTTTCTCTACTCTTTATAGGGGGAAAATAACAAAGTGGAAAAAATAAGAATACCATAATATTTCATTGTTTTAGAAAAGATGTTTTTGAAAAGTGATTTTACAGGAAAAAAGTACGGTCAGAATAACAATGGACAGTGATGAAGAAAATTTACATCGAATTCGGCAAACCACTTTTTGCCAACAAAATGTGATTCGAAGAAAACGTACCAGAGTAATGATAATTTTACAAAAAAAGTAAACGTTTTTATTACGCTTAAGGTCCGGGAGACCCTTTCAGATCCCTCAGGATGATTATATTATTAGGTCAGTAGATTACACTATTATCACATTATACTTGTCAGCACAGTCCAAAAATTGATTATTTACATGCTACAGAGAAAACAAAATGCTGAACTATCAAATACGAAGCCTATAAACTACTCCTAGATTGATTTCTGGAGATTTTTCAGGCTAACCACAAAAAAAAGAAACACGCAGTTGTCGGCACGCACGAGTGTCTGAAATCCGACGGGTGTTTCAAATTGCATTATTTTTACATAGGAGCAGATGACACGACTAAAATTATTGCCCTTAGCTGTTGAGTTACAAGTTCAATGTATACGTACAGATTAAGGTATAGAGAACTGCATGTATACCCAATTATTTTATTGCGCGCGTAATGGTGGTAACACGTCACGTGCACCCCACAATCTGTAACCCGTTAAAAGAATTTGAACGTACGAAAAATTGTTGACCTTCGTTGCCGTTAATACATTTCAGATCCCTCTGGACCTTTCGTTGAGCCTTTATTTTAATCGCTTAAGTTTAGAAGATCACTCGTTTAACGCACGTAATGTATTATTATATATTTTCCTCGAACGAGGAAAATATATAATTACAAATTACTGTTCGACCTCTCATCTGCGTAGTTTACATCGTCCAGTGACCACGAACAAAAAATTGTGTCATCGTCGCCAAATTCACATTTCATGAGTGAATTTCACTTGAGCCACTTATTTCTTTCAGTGATCATTGACGGTAATTATCACATCATGGACGTCATTTCAGTCGAGTATAAGAGGTAGGGCAGCAAAAATTGATGTAAGGAAGAAGAATTTGCAACGAGGGAGACAAAAATCTCGAATCGATTACATTTGCCTCCCTAAAAAGGTCAAATCTCATATATAGACGCATTTCTGCAAAACATAACTATGTGCATTATGACGTGATCCCTGTTATGCATATATTTTTATGGGTCTCAGGGCTCATGTCTTAATGCACATAGCTCCGTTTGGCAAATATACGTTCATATAAAGGGAGCAGCCACCCCTAACTCTTAACTATCGTCCTTGTATAATTTTATGAGCCTAGAAGGCGGCTCCGAACTGGAAATCGTGGGTGGGGTTGGAGCCTCCAGAGGGGAGAGCGTACTGCTTCTCAAGGTCGTCGAAAGAGGATGCAGCACCGCTGTTGAACTGCCTAGGGGCAGAGCGGGAGACCTGTCTGGCCTGGGGCGCCTGGAAGTCGAGGAACTGGGGTGCAGGTCGGGGCTGGCCCCTGGAGCGACCGGTGGGCACGAAGATGGGGGCGGCGGGGGCAGCAGGGGCGACGGGGGCGGCGCCAGGGACTTGGGCGCGGGGCGGCACTGGGCCCGAGCTAGGGGCGTCGTTGAAGGACTGCTGGGCGAAGGACTGTTGGGCGAAGGATTGCTGTTGAGGTGCGGCGCCGAAGGACTGCTGCTGTTGGAAGGAGGCCTGGTCGGAGTTGATGCCGAATTCGAAGTTGGCCGAGGGGCGCTGGACGGGGGCGACTGGGGCGGCGACTGCGGGGCGGGCCACTGGGCGAGCGCGGCTGGAGATGGCTACGCGGCCTGCGTTGCGGGACGGGAACTGTCGGACAGAGAATGAACATCATGAGTGAACGGGTAGTTGCAGGGGTGCGGGACATTACTACACTTAGAAGCAGAGCCACTGTTTGTGAATGGTCCATATATCGACGGTGAAACTACCAAACCACGAATCTCGTTTGCGGTGTTTAAAAATCTACGCTCACATTTTATTTTTTTGAAGTAGACCAAATCAATATCATTCCTTGAAATTTTCACGGAATTTTCTCTGCACAAAGAGGAAAAATCACAGAAATTTTCAAGACTGGATGTTAAGTAGTTTTTCATTTAAAAAATAAAGTATGACAGGAAGTCTGCGACGTCGCAAACCGAGATACGTGGTTTGGTAGTTTCACCGTCGATATGTACCTATCTGAATGCCAATAACATTCACTGAAAAAAGTGGTATGCTGTTTTAGCACCTGGGATGTAAAAAAAGTGTCTGGTGATCCTAAGATACTACCTCGATTGCCCACGCAGTTGAATTTGCATTCCTAGGATGTAAAGTTAACTGCGATGGTAGTAAAGGCAGTATCTTGGAATCACCATGCAGACACATTTTTGACATCCTAGGTGCTAAAACAGCATACCACTTTTTTCAGTGAACGTATTCAAGAAAATTAACAGATTATTCTGTGATGGCCAACGTGCAAGAGACGTTTCTTTATTGTGGTGTTTTACAACAGATAGTTTGTTATTCTACTCCTGCGTTTAAGTCTCCAGGCAATTTCATCCACACAGCAAGCTGAAAATGTTCTCTTTAGGTTAGATCCTAAAGCAAGATGGATTCAAGTTTACTCTGCGTATTTGTATTGTAAATTATAACTTATGATGTGCGTATGATGTGCTACCATGCACCACTGGTGAGACTCAACAAATTTTGGATGAAAGTATGCATTGATGCAGTGGATAAAGTCACATACCGCGCATTTTAACTAACTCGTCACTTGACGATATTTTTGACAGAAATCTACTCGAGGCTTGAGGGGCTCGAACCTCACCCCCTGAAAGCATCAAAAGGGAATTTTTCAATTTATTCAGAGGAGCCTCCCCCCTTCATTGCTGTCCTTGTAGGCTCTAAGAGCTCTACACTGGGAAAAAAACACATTGGATCTAGAGTCCAGACTCTTGAAAACATTGACAAGAAAATCGACTCTTGATTCAATCAGATTTAAGCTTAAATCAAAAAGAAATCCGCTCAAATTGAGAGACTTGGTTCTTGCTTTAAACTTAAATCTGATTGAATCAAGACTATTTTTTCTTGTCGATGTTTTTAAGAGTCTGGACTCTACATACAATGTGTTTTTTTTCCAGTGCATATTCCGACATGTTCGAAATGTACACTAAGGCCCATAAAGAGCATCATCATACCTGAGGCTGAGGCTGGGGCTGGGGCTGAGCAATGGGTTGAGGTTGAGCCTGCTGTTGGTCTTCGAAGTCCTGGCCATCGTCGTACTCAGAGGACTCCTCTGAGACGGGGATACCTTGGTCTCGAGATCCGAGAGCGATCTGGAGCGGGCTGGGACCCTGGAGCCGGGATCCGGAGGGCACCTTCTTCTTCTTGGATTTGGACTCGTCGACGAGGGTGGGCGGGGCGACGGTGATCCCTTCGCCGGAGGGCTGGAATCCGTAGCGGTTGGCGCCGTACTCGACCACGCGCACTTTTCCGGAGTCGTCGACGTAGCCGTACTTGCCCTTGACCTCGCCGTTGGCCAACTTGGTCTCGATCTTGAAGCTACCGTCGGAGCCCTCGAAGCCGTACGTGTAGGAGCCGTCCTCGTTGTGCCTGGAATGAAGCGCAAATTTGGGGACAGCCCTTTAGCGAAGATGTTAAGTTTACAAAATTACAAGGTTATAATGTTACAAAGTTCACAAACTGATTGCGGTAGACGCATGAGTCGTATACACCATAAGTTGGAATTGTAACCAATGTGCGTTAAAATCTAAAAAACTGGAAGTCTCAATACAGAATGATCGTAACTGGTGTTGCACCAAGCAGCTATCTCTTTTAGGAAAAATTTTGCTCGAATGAGGTTTTTCTCTCTGTATTAAGATCTCCAGTTTACTGTATTGTAACGCATGACACAACTTACAAATTTCACTTTACATAGCTAATCTTTTGGGATTAACCAAAGATATTTTCAGGGAAAAGTTGTCCTAGGTAAGACAGCTTTTGTCTTAGGTAGAACATGCTTGGTTTCTTATTTCCCTGTGATGATTGTGTTCACCTGTAAGAATTTAGTGTATACGTAAAATAGCTTGAGGTAAGATGCTACTCAAGAAAAATTTTGGCGTTGAGTATTACCAACAGCGTTGCAGATGCCAGGGGGCAAGATGTCAAAAAGTGTGGGAATTTTACTTCAAGACGACGCAATTTTCAAATAACATAAGGTAGTATGTGTTGCCCTAAAAGTGAATTCAGCGAATTCTGACTTCCAGAGAAGTATTTCTCTTTATTTTCTTTCCAAAAACGTATCAATCGATGTGTGTATAATCGGACTACATTTTGCAATCTGGAACGCCATTTTCTGGCTAAGTTTAGAAACAACGTATGTATCATTTGTTCCTAAATGCGCAAAAGCGTTTTTGCAAATGAGCTAAAAATTGTAGTTTCTAATTGCACAATGAAGTGCATTTATGATGTTATTGTTATTTTGGTGGAAATTCTGGAGGGCAAAAATTTGTCTTCAAGTTCATTTCCATGCAACCCTCCAAAATTTTAAAGGCTCATCTTTCTTCAGAGCTTCCGTTGAGCAATTCGTCGTATTAATTGAAGGCGACCATCTCAGTTCATTTCAAATATAGTGTAATATAGTTCACTGGATGGTCAATAGTACTGATAATCGGACAATGCAAGGCAAATAACAATATTGTTTATATTTTTATTGAAAGGTACCCATTCAAGCATGGATATCGCGATGCACTTGGTTATTGTGCTTCATTCTTCATAAAAGTAATGGTCCAAATAGAGGAAAGAAAAAAACCTCAATGCTGCAACTTTCGTGGTGCAATTATTAACGATGAACTTACAGACAGAATGAGAACAATAGAAGTAATTCCAATGGGAGAAAATTTTGATATCAGACGAACCAAATTCGATTATTCAGTTTTGAGTCGGTGAATGGGAGGGGGAGGGGTCAGCGGTGGGAAAAGAACGAGGTGAGACAATGCCCTCACAGTCCAAGTTCACAGCATGCCCACATTGCAGATGATTATATCATTGCAGCAATGTTGTAAAATCTTACATTTGCCAATAATCTCTTTATTGCTCTTTATAAATGAACACTTTGAGTGTGATATAACGAAGCTATTTACATCTGTCTCAAATTGAATAAAATACATTGACTTGGAGTAATTTAAAAATGGTTGACATAGAGTGATTAGAGCGTATATCTTCAAATACGGCATGGAACGTCAATCTATCAATATATCTTCAAATACGTCAATATCATAGAACTTCAAATGAAGATACGATTCAAAGTTTTCGCCCATTTTTTGTTTTTGAGTACATCGTATTTTTTGTGCACTATCTAGTCAGTTTTTTTTACTTTTATTTGAAAGACACGAGGGACGATACAAATTTCTGAGGGGTATAATTAATCAAGCTGGATTTTGGGGAATCTACTAAAAATTTTAAAAATGTTTGGTAATCTCAACGAGTGGACATTAAAGTTCAGTAAAATGTGCTCCTTATTTCCTTCCCCTGAATTCTGCGTTTCAAATAATATAAACGTACTTCCATAACATTTTAGAACCTATCAAACTCATGTACAATTAGAATATCACGCAACATAGGTAATTTAAAAATATATTAAAGTTATTAACGTTAATTTCAACATTTTAGGTAAAGTTTCCTGCATCCACGTAACCCTTTGTCATATTTTACCAAACTTGTCTTTTAGTTGCCATTATAGTCGCTACTTATTTCCTTCATCATACGCCTTCAATCTCAACTGAGACTACTTTCAATACATAACTGCGCTCAACTGCTACCATGTGTAATGGGACAAAGTATCAGAGTATTCGCTCTGTCCGTTAGGTTTATGAAGCGCCTTCAAATCGTACACCCGCAATTTACGTTGTATGAAAATTTAACCTCCTCGCGCGTCGCTCAAGGAAACAGCAGGCGCAAAGGAGATGAGAAATAAGCCTCTCCTCTCAAGGCACATTACCACGAGAATAGTTTCCTATTCTAATCGCCAAGAGTATAAAATATATTGTATGGTATTCTATACTCCAGGTTACTTCCGGGGATTCGGGTGACTTATATACTCAATTTCCCCGAAAATTGATAAATATTCATATTTTTACTAATCAATTTTTCCCTAGATTATCCATAAATTATGTATGTAGTTGCCGAGATCTTTCTGAACCATTGTTCAAAAAACTTTTACGACTCGTATATTTTGGTAATTTCCTCAATTAATGTTAGAATTTACATTTTCACCGTTGAAATCTCTTCTCGGTTTTATTTCTACATTTTCACTGCACTAGAAAAATCGTGCTTGTCTCTACTGTCTCTCTTTTCAATGATTTTCTCTCTCTCCTGGGCTTTGCTTGATTTATGCTCACCTGTTGATCTGTTTCAAGATCTGTACAGGGGGTGCACGGGGGGTGGTAGGCTGGGCGGAGGTCCTGGTGCGGGTGAGCTGTCCCTTGCCCTGGAAGCGGGATGGAACGGAGGCAGGTTCCTCATAGTCGAAGTCTTGCTCCTGTTCGCCAACAGAGTTCTCTCCGAACTGCTGTGCATTGGTCAGTCCTGCGATTCCTATCGCTATCAGGCATACCTGTAACACAAGGAAATAATAAACTTTAGGCTGCGTTATATTTTAGACATCTTTATATACGACATAATAAGTGAACAGTGACGATAGATATGTATGTATATTCATCAGGGCGATATAACCCGGATTGAAAAATAACATGACGTGAATATTCAAATTTTCTTTCCAATAAACGTAGACTGACCAAGTTGTGAACAGTTACAGTAATTTTAGGTATTTTAAATACTAAGACGATGAAAGTACAATTTAAATTCGTACATACAGATCTGCAATATTTCACGAGAAATTTGATTGAATTGATGTTCATCTAATAGTACATATCATGCCTAAAGAGTCACCGCAAAGTAATAAAGAAGTATGGAACAACTGTATTTGGCTCATTCATCAAAGAACTTATTTTCGTAAGGATTAATTCCATATATGAAGACCATTCCGACCAAAGAGCAAAATGTACCCACTTCAGCGTCGATAAGATTGTACAACTCTTCCTTCTTTACAAAGTAAAGAAGGAACAAGTATTACAAGTATCCGACAAGTACGATACAAGTGTCCGAAACCACTCACTTCGTACGTTTCGCTACCAAAATATTAAAAAAACCACAGAGAAAATTTGAAGAAAACAGATCTTACAGCTCTCTATTAACTGATCAGTTGAATATATGCACAATCTTAGCAACTCTGACGTGGGTGTGCTGTTCTATATGCTGTTCGGTCGGACAGGTCCTCATATGTTGATTCTATAATGAGTCATCAGAAATAGTTGTTTTTCATTGCAAAACGTAACTCATATATATTTTTTTTTTTTTTTTTTTTTTTTTTTTTTTAAAGAAAACACATCTTTTTACATATTTTCTACATCGCCATCAAATTCACAGCATTGGAGGTGGTTGCAATTCTCGTGATTTGGCAACACTGCTTTCCCTCCATTTAGACGTATGAAAAACAATCGATTCTTGGTGAGGCAGCTTGCTTCGCCTAAATCGATTTTTTTCAATGGATTTAAATTGAGAGAAAAGAGTGTTGCCAGTCGAATACTGATGTGCCTGTACCTGCAAAGTCGATACCGATTTAAGGAGACTTAAAACACTGCGGAATCGGAGTTTTAGAGCGCTCAGTGCCCGATCAAAATAAAACGGGGCTATCAATGTTGGCAAAATAGCGTCGCGTCGGTGTCGCGCCATTACTTTCTCCGCTGGATTCACTTTGCGACTGTGAAAATCACTGGCATCGGTTACCATGGGTTTATCCAATGGTGAGGAATCGGCGCCTACTGATTCGTGTGATCAGCATACACGATGATGAGTCCCATTTTAGCTGTTGTCACGTTGACGATGTATATTCAATTTATGCAACGTGAACGTTACGTTTGGTTTGGATAAAACTATAGAAAATCGCCACGTTTCTCATTTGGCACCTAGAATAAACGATCTCCTTGAAAAGAGATTGGTGATATTCGTCTCATGATCATCAGTAATGGCTGATTCATAGAGATTAAAGTAAATTTCAACATCGTCCAAAGGTATAAACATGCGGGTTGCCAATTGAAAGAGATATAATTTTTTGAACGTTATTAATGATGAAAACGACTCTTTTTCAAGTAAAACAGAAGATGCGACTATACCAACTTCTGTGTCGTGCGTATTGCGGCTGAAAAATTGAAGGAGATATTTGCGTCTATCAGATCACAACAAGATCTACGTGTTTAAAATTAACATTTGGAAAGTGGCAGGAATACAGACTACGTCATTTGTATATGCTCTAATTTATATTTGATCTGTGTTAAAAATATTTGCTAATATCTCGTTCAGGAGTTGATTTCTGAAATTCTCGTTGTATAATTCCTTTTCTATGTAAGTATGAAAACATTTCATGCGAAACTAATCAATTTCTAGTTCAGACCCTGTCTAGTGGTCCATTTTGAAGAGGTAACATACAACTTAATCCTTTAATTCGTTACTTGTGTAGTTGCTTATGATCAGTGTTGAGCCAGGAATTATTATTTAAATGCAGCAAATAAGATACAAATGGGACCAATGAAGGCCCAGATAAACCTGCGAGGTACGAACGCTTGTTGAAAGTGAAACACTAATAGGCAAAGAGGATTTCAATAGCTCGACGTTAAGCGATCGAAATCCTGGCTTCCTATATCGAAGTTTCACTTTCAACAAGCGTTTGTACTAGCCGGTGTATCTGCCACCTCAGGGATCCCATTGGCGATTTACAACTATTTACAAGCATTCACGGGCCGATACACAAGTAACAGATTAAAAGCTTGTTGAAATTGAAACACCAATAGGCAAGGAAGATTTCGATAACTCGACGTCGAGCGATTGAAATCCTGGTTTCCTATTGCACTGGGGAAAAAAAACACATAATTGGATCTAGAGTCCAGACTCTTGAAAACATTGACAAGAAAAAATATTCTTGATTCAATCGGATTTTTGCATGAATCAAAACGAAATCCGCTACAATTAAGAGGCTTGGTTCCTGATTTAAGCTAGATTCTGATCGAATCAAGAGTACTTTTTCTTGTAGATGTTTTTAAGAGTCTGGACTCCAGATCCAATGTGTTTTTTTTTCCAGTGTGGTCTTTCACTTTCAACAAGCGCTTGTAACTAGCAGGTGTATCTGCCACTTCAGGGATCCCATTGGCGTTTTAGAAGAATTTCCATTCGCCACGTTTGAAGAATTTCCATTAGTTACGTTTGATTTGACAACACGCCGACGCCGTACGTGAGGACGAGCCAGACGTCGCGTCGTCGCGTCGTCTGGAGGAAGACGCTAGAGTTGAGCGTCCTGGCGAGGTTATCAACGGCGGCAGCGCGCGGTGATGTCATCTTCTCTACGTTACGCGACTTCTACATTGTGGATCCCGGGTTCACTCACACCCACAACACAACGGTTCCATATTCTACACCAGCGGCGGCGTGGCTCTACGTAACGCTGCGGTTTCGGGCGCACGTTTTTCGCGTCACCACCGTCGCACGTCGCCTCACGAAACGGGACACCCCGGCGCCGCAACGCACACCGGTCGACGTCAACATTCAACGCTTGAGCGAGTTTTATTAAGCACTCGGCCGATAAAAATCGCTTTTGGATTTCAATCTGCGACTAGTATTCTAGTATACTAGTGGCAATGGAAAATGTGTGGAAAACTAGTGAAAAATGATGGACTACACTGAAAAAAAAACCCCGGCCGTGGGAGCCGCAGTTACGGGCTATATAGACATACCGTCCGTTCCGGGCTCAAAGGCCAAAAATTCCGACTGCTGGAGCCGTAGCTTCGGCCTCTGAACCCGGAGCGATCGAAGCTACGCCTCCAGCAGCCGAAATTTTCGGCCTTTGAGCCCGGAACGGACGGTATGTCTAGATAGGTCGTAATTTCGGCTCTCACGGCCGGAGTTTTTTTTTCAGAGTAATTATAAGGTCTGTCATAAATTGTCGTTGGTCAGTCTATTACTTAAGTACCTTTTTGTCTATTGCAAACACGCTCTTCCATCAACAGGACACTCCATTTCTCTTTTTTTATCGCTTTGTCTATCGATTTTATTAATGAACCCGCAGGAGTATGTTTTATGGGTTATCGTAAATTTTCTTCCCCATCTATGAAGTTATTTTCTAGAAGAGCCTCATTATGGGAGAGCCCACTCCTCAAAAGATTTGGGAAAATCATCGTTTTGTTTTTAATTTTAGCGACAGCTATCCGGCCAAAACTATCGAAAAATAGATACGGCTCATATTTATATCCTGGCGTTTAATTAATCTGGGGCAACAATAATATCTTTGGTAGTCTCGGATCTTTCAGGGTAGAAAATTTCTTTTTTCCCCTCCCATGTGACCTGGTGATTCCCCTTTCTCTTGAAATTTAAGTGTAACTCTTACGAGGAACACTTCCTAATAAAATAGATACTTTGCTATTTTTGGAGGCTAAACCAGTATTCAATAGATGAATAGCAAAATTCAACATTTACACTTTAAGTTCTCAAGGCCGACGCATGACAACCGGTCTCTCCCTCTTGAATTTGCTCTACCTGCAAGTCTTTATGATAAAATGTGTGTACCCTTTCATTTTTCAGCATGCAGGGTAAAGTTTTGATCTGCCCTGTGTCGAGTCGATTGAGCTCTCAGCATTCGACAGAAATCGCCAACAAAAAGTTCTCGAAAACACACAACTTTCACTTTTATTGGCACCGCAAAAAAGCACGCGCAGACTAGTCCGTTGTTCATTCATGAGACTAGACGCGAGAGAACCGATGTTTTTAGACTGTTTTGCTTGCCCAATCATTTGTTCAACGTGTAGTTCTTGGAAATGAATTAGGTTATGGATAAGTTGAAGGCAACTAATCCAAGAAAAAGAGGAAACATTTGTTGAAGTAATAAAGCACTGTGACCTATAGTTCGAATGAGTTTTACTGGTTTTAAGAACTAAATGATTACAAATCGGACATTATGAAATTAATTCAATTTATTTAAATGAGACATTTAAGGCTATTCCAGTTGAATACGAAATTTTTTTTTTTATATTTTACAGATTTATTGATTTTTTTGATTTATTGCTTTTTTGATTATTCTTTATATATGTCCAGAAGATCATCGTCTGTATAATCCATTTCGACCTCCTGATATTTTATTTTAGGAATAAGTTTCTTTCTTTTAAAAAATGTGTAAAAGAAGAAAACAATGGTAAATAAAGACTTTACAGACGGTATATTTACTTAAACATGTCTAAAGTTTTTAATGCAAAAAAAAGAGAATTAGAATTTTACAGTAAAAATCATTCTTTGCTTTTAACTTTTACAAAACTAAATTTTAAGAAGAGAATTCACTTAGATCTTACGGAAAGCTCTGTAGGTATACTTTTAATCTAAAATATATATCACAATCTATCCTTACATTTTTTTAAAATCGTTGCTAGGGCTCAAAACAACATGTTCACTCCTCGTAGAACTTGCTCTGTTTCATAGTCTACAAAACTTGTAAACTAGCATGCAAAAGCACTAGAA